GCACAAGGGAAAGAAGAGTTGTTTGTCCAATGTCTGAAGTTAACAGGTACTCAGAAAACAGATGACTCATGGCATTGTAGAGCCTTCTGCTGTCCCTGGCAGGCTGAGCTGTCTCCCATCCACTCTGAGGGCACACAGAGGCTTGGGCTGGATTATGTCCATGTGTGTCAAGGGTCGTCTGCTTGAGTAGCTCTGTTCTCCCAGGAAACACCCCACAGAGAGGAGAGGTGGCAAATGAATGAACAGCAATGATACTGGTGTTATCACTGAGTATCAATTTTGTGGCAAATCAGGAAAAAAAAAGACAACTCAAACCTATGAGGAAGGTATTTTTATTAGCCACATTTTACAGAGGGAAAAACTGGGAACCCAAGCAGGTTAAAAACTTGGACACAGTTTACACAGCCGTCCAGGCTGAGCACTGCCTTTCCCTTCTTCAGATCTGGTCAGGGCCACAACAAGGGAAATCCCCTAGTGTCCGGCCACGTTGGCCCTCCAGGTGTGGCCTGTCCTGTCCTACTGCTGCTGCCTCCTGACCCATCTCCTGGTGACCATGAGCTCCACAGGGTTCGGCCTGTGTGCGCCCCAAACCCAACTCTCCCCATGAGCTTCAGGGCTGTCCGTGGATTGGCCCCGCCTATCCAGTCCCATCTCACCCTCCAGTGGGACCCATCCTGCACCCTCCCCTTCCCTGCTGACCCCGGCCACAGCCAACAGTCTCCCCACCTGCAGCCCACACGGGGAAGTTTGCTTTGTGCAAGCTTTACTCTTTAAGAGATTTTACTCTTTCTCTGACTATAAGATTGATATATCCTTTGTAAAAATATTTAAGCCCTATAAAAATATCAAGGAAACAGGGAACATGTCCCAGGATCCCCCTTCAGTGAGCTGTTCTAAGGTTTGCAGCGCACGCCAGGCATGCACATTGTTTGTTCTCGATGGGCCATTTTGCACACATCTGACTGTGTGGGTTTTGGTGGATGATGCTGGCAGGGGTTGTCTGGGGCTCTTCATAACTCCAAGATAAAAGCACTCCTGGCCACCACACATTGCCTCTCCAGTTGTTTCTCCTGGCTCCCCCTTCACCCACTGCCTGGGTGTCCTTGTCTCAGCCCCATGGATTCCTCACAGATGTGGAGAGCCCTTCCCTTCATCTCCTCTGTTCCCTGCTCTCCTCCCTGGCACAACTCTCATCCACTTTTCTATGAATTTTAATAGATTCTATGTCTCCTTCAGGGCCTCTCTGAACCCCTATGGAGGGGGAGAGGGCAGCCTCCTGCTCTGAGCCCCTGGGGTATCTGTACATACACCCTCCAGGTGGGAATCAGGTGTATGTTTAGTTTCAGTTAATTTTATTCCCAGTCTTAGGCAGGTAGCATTTAGCCTTTTACCATTGTGTGATATTAGCTGTGGGTTTTTGCAAATGTTTACCTTTCTCTTTCATGGCATCTCCCCTTGAGCCAATGCAATAAAGCAAGAAAAGGGAGTAAAAGGCATGTAGGTCAGGAAAGAAGAAAGATGGCATGATTGTCTGTGGAGAAAATTCCAAGGAATCAACAAAGATATCTACTAGAACTAAAAATGAGTTCAGTAAGCTTGTAGGATACTAGATAAACCTTCCAAAATTAATTGTATTTCTATATATAATAGGAGTGAACACATGGAAACTGAAACTAAGCATACAATATCATTTACAATTACTCAGACAAGAGAGAAATACTTTGTGTGCTGAAAACTATAAAAAGCTGATGAAGGAAACCAAAGAAGATTAAATAAATAAATGGAGAACCATGCTGTGCTCATGGATGGAAGACTCAGCAGAGTAAAGGTGTCTATTCTCCCCAAACTGATATACAAGCTTATCATAGTTCCTATTGCTAGAAAGATATTTTGCAAGTATAGACAAGACTGTTCTAAATTTTATATAGAAAGAGACTAGAATAGCTAAAACAATTTTTAAAATGGAGAATAATGTGGGAGGAATCAATCTATTTAATTTCCAGACTTACTACTTAACCAAGACAATCGAGACTGTGGCATTGGTGGAGGGATAGACACATCGATCAATGAAACAGAACAGAGAACACAGAAATAGACCCACACAAATATGCCCAATTGATGTTGACAAAAGTGCAAAAGTAAGTCAATGGAGGAGAGACAGCCTTTTCAGCAAATGATGCTGGAGCAATCTGGACACCCATGGGGGAAAAGGAACCTCAACTAAATCACACACCTTATATAAAAATAAACTCAAAACAAATCATAGACTTAAATGTAAAACTATAAAACTTACAAATAATAGAGAAAAATCTTGGGATCCAGGGTTAGGTAAAGAGTTCTTAGACCTGACACCAAAAGCATGACCCACAAAAGAAAAAGAATTGATAAATTAGACTTCATCAAAATTTAGACACTTTTGCTCTGCAAGCAAATCTGTTAACAGGATGAAAATACAAGTTTCAGATTGAGAAAACATTTGCAAACCACAATTCCAAAAAAGAACTCTTAAAACTCAACAGTGAAAAAACAAGCAACACAATTAGAAAATGAGCAAAAGACAGGGAGAGACATCTCACTGAAGAGGACATACAGATGGCAAATAAGCACATGAAAAGATGTTCAATATCATTAGCCATCAGTGACATGCAAATTAAAAGCACAGTGAGACATCAATAGAACCTATCAGAATGGCAAAAATAAAAAATAGCGACAACACCAAAGGGCAATGAGAACGCAGGGAAACTGTACCATTCCCACGTTATTAGTGAGAATATAAATGGTACAATGACTCTGGAAGGCAGTTTGGCAGTTTCTTTAAAAATTAAATGTGCAGGGCTTCCCTGGTGGCGCAGTGGTTGAGAATCTGCCTGCTAATGCAGGGGGGACATGGGTTCGAGCCCTGGTCTGGGAGGATCCCACATGCCGCGGAGCAACTAGGCCCGTGAGCCACAACTACTGAGCCTGCGCGTCTGGAGCCTGGGCTCCGCAACAAGAGAGGCCGTGATAGTGAGAGGCCCGTGCACCGCGATGAAGAGTGGGCCCCGCTTGCCGCAACTAGAGAGAACCCTCGCACAGAAACGAAGACCCAACACAGCAAAAATTAATTAATTAATTAATAAACTCCTACCCCCAACATCTTCTTTAAAAAAAAAAAAATTCAATATGCAATTACCACGTGACCCAGCAATTGTATCCCTAGGCATTTATCTGAGAGAAACAAGATTTATATTCACATAAAAACCTGTACATAAATGTTTACAGCTGCTTCATTCATAATTGTCAAAAACTGGAAACAACCCAGCTGTCCTTCAGTGGGTAAATGGTTAAACAAACTGGCTCATCCATATCATAGAATAGTGCTCAGCAGTAAAAAAGGAACAAACTACTTAAAATATTCTTTATTAGGGTAAAATACACATGACGTAAAGTGAACTGTTGTAACTCTTTTTTAAGTGTACAGTTCAATGGCATTAAATACATTCACATTGGTGTCCAGTCGTCACCACCATCCATCTCCAGAACTTTTTCATCTTCCCAAAGTGAAACTCTGTACCCATTAAAAAATAACTCTCCATCTCCCCCAGCACTTAGCAACACCATTCTACTTTCTGTCTCTATGTGTTTGACTATTTTAGGTACTTCACTATATTTGTCCTTTTATGTCTGGTTTATTTCACCCAGCGTAATGTCTTCGAGGTTCACCATGTTGTAGCATGTTAGCATGTCTCAGAATTTCATTCCTTTTTAAGGCTGAATTATATATATATTTATATAATTTATATAATATAAATTATATATATATAAATATATATATATCTATCTCACTTTGTTTAATTTATCCATCAATGAACACTTGGATTGCTTCCACATTTTGGTTATTGAGCACCAGTGTACAAATACCTGTTCAAGTCCATGCTTTCAATTCTTTTGCATATATATCCAGAAGTGGAATTGCTGGATCAAATGGTAATTTCTACTTTTAATATTTTTGAGGAACTTCCATACTGTTTTCCGCAATGGCTACCTTTTCTGCTCCCACCAGCAGCGTACAAAGGTTTCAATCTCTTGCCAACGTTTGCTGTTCTCGGTTATTTTGATTATAACGGGCCTAATGGGTGTGAAGTAGTAGTTCACTGTGGTTTCGATTCTCGTTTCCCTAATGATGAGTGATGGTGTGTACATTTTCATGTGCTTATTGGCCATTTGTGTATCTTTTTTGGAGAAGTGTCTATTCAAGCCTTTGCCTGTCTTTGCATCAGGTTGTGTTTCTTGTTGCTGTTGAGTACTAGTTCCTTTTCTCTTCTGGATATTAATCCCTCGTCAGATATATGATTTGCAAACATTTTCTCACAGGCTTGTGTGGTCTTTTTACTCTGTTCATTCATATGATGCGCAAACGTTTTTAATTTTGATGAAGTCCAATTTGTCTATTTTTCCTTTGGTTTCCTGTAGCATCTAAAAAAAATCTTCCCCAAATCCAATGTTGTCAAGTGTATCTTTATGTTTTCTTTTAATAGGTTAATAGTTTTAACTCTTACCTTTAGGTCTTTAATCCATTATGATATAATTTTTGTAATGGTGTTATGTAAGGTTTCAACTTCATTTCTTTGTATGTGGATATCCATTTTTCTCAGCACCATTTTTTGAAAAGACACTTCTTTTCCCATTGAATGGTTTGGCACCCCTGTCAAAAATTATTTTACCAGGGCCTCCCTGGTGGCGCAGTGGTTAAGAATCTGCCTGCCAATGCAGGGGACACGGGTTCGAGCCCTGGTCCGGGAAGATCCCACATGCCACGGAGCACCTAAGCCCGTGCACCACAACTACTGAGCCTGTGCTCTAGAGCCCATGAGCCACAACTGTTGAGCCCGTGTGCCACAACTACTGAAGCCCACACGCCTAGAGCCCGTGCTCCACAGCAAGAGAAGCCACCACAATGAGAAGCCCACGCACTGCAACCAAGAGTAGCCCCCGCTTGCCTCAACTAGAGAAAGCCTGTGCGCAGCAACGAAGACCCAACGCAGCCAAAGATAGATAGATAGATAAATAAATTCATGTGGCTGGCCTCTCTCTTACCCAGTACGTTTTGGTCTCCGGCATTTCATTCCTTTTCTGTGGCTCCTATAACAAATTACCACAATTTTAGTGGCTTAAATTTTGTTCTGTTCCTTTATAGTTTTAACAGATTTATTCTTTTACAGTTCTGGAGGTCAGAAGTCCACAGTGGGTCTCACTGGGCTAAAATCAAGGTGTGGGAAGGGCTGTGCTTCTTCTCGAGGCTGGAGGGGAGGCTCCATCTCCTTGCCTCTTCCAGGTGCTGGAGGCTGCCCACATGTGCTGGCCGGTGGCCCCTTCCTCCACCTTCAGAGCCAGCAATGGCATCCTTCCACCTCTGCTTCCATTGGCACCTCTCCTTCCATTGGCACCTCTCCTTCTCTGACTTTTCTACCGCCCTCTGTCCTGTATGAGGATCCTCAGGACTACACTGAGCCTGCCGGATAAGCCAGGACAGTCTCCCCATCTCGATTTTTAATTTAGTCACATCTGCGAAGTCCCTTGCCACGTGAGGTTATGTGATCACAGGATCCAGGAATTAGGACGTGGACTTTAACCTGGACAGACAACGACTCTGCGTCTCACAACCGTCTAGAGTTTGCTCAGCTTCTGGGCTCAGCAATCTCCATCCACACACTTCCCAGCGCCCTGGCCTGGCAGCTGGTTCGTGCTCAGCTGGAAGGGCGCACACTCCCCCACGACTTCTCTGCCCAGAAGTCCAGTCCAGGGCCATCCCCCAGGGAGGCGGCTCCGTCCCTCAGACAGATCATGACCTCCCTTAGCATTCTGCCTCTACCTCCTCCTGGGGCCTGGCCTGGCCCTTTCTGTCCTAAGCAAGGCTGAGCCCTGAGGACCTGGGCTTTGGGTTACATCCTTCATTCCTTCCCAAGGACCTGCTGCATGACCCTCTTCCTAGCTCTGTGTCTCACCCTTCCCTTCTCCTCCTTCTGTGTTATTTGGTTGCTTTTTTTCCAGCCATAACCTACTTGGATCTCTTCGTCCTGAAAACCCCCTTCAGGGACCTTGCCGCCTCTTTCTCTGGTGTCCCCTTTCTTGGTGAAAGCTGTCACCACACAGGAGCCCTCTCTCCTTCTCACATCATCCATCAGACCCTCCAGATTCTGTCTCCTGGTGAAACCTATGCTGAGTTTTCCTGCCTGGGTCTGAGCTGTAACCTCTTGTGTAACCTCTTGTGTCTGATGTTACAACCACCTAACAGCTGGTCTCCCTTTCTTCATTCTAGGCCCCTGGTCCTTCCCCAACATGACTGCTAGAATGATCATTTTGCAATGTATATCTAATCGTATTCCACTCCTGTAAAAAAAACCTCCAGTGAATTTGGAATGTACCAGAACATGTAACACGTATTACTCCCCTCATTCCCTGGAACTTGAATGAGATCCTACTATCAAAAAATATTGAACACTTTATAGCACTTGCTATGTACATAGAAAATTTGTGCATATGCAGACTCACCAAATCCAGGAGCTGCTCCATCATGAAGATTAGATCCCAAGAAAATCAAATGGCCTTTAATTTTATGGACCATTTCTTGAGCTTGGTCAATTGAATACAGTGGGACTTTCTCAACAGAAAACTTCTAAGTGTGGGTGCTACACAGAACAGGCAACATTATTCTTTTAACAGGACAGTTTGGAGAGTCCTTTGGTCACCCCATAAACACATTGGGAAAGATCCTCCCTGGGCAGGAGACCGACCCTTCTTGGTCACGCTGTGGCACTGAAGCCAGTACAGGACATGGCCATTAAACAGAACAGGAAGGTAGGGCAGACTTCCTCTCTAGGATTCAAAGAAAGGTGAATTAAAAGGGACAACGAACTTTCATTTTCTCCCCTATATGTTTTAGCAAGGATTTTTAAGGCCTGATGCTAATCTTAGCTATCAGACATCCTAAGGGGAGAAAAAATTGCCTCTGTATTTCTGAAAAACAACATGGCAGGTATCCAAAGCTGTAAATCTGACAGAATAATTAGCCCCATGCAGGACTTGACAAAGGCAATAAAAATACGGACAAAGATTTCTGTATAAAGAAGTTCTTGTAGAATCACCCATAAAACTAAATGTTCAACAACAGGAGAATAAACGGTCACATCAAATATGACGCCTTCATGTGATGAGATGTTATGCAGCCATCTGATATGGACAGATGCTCTTCGCCCAATATAAAGGGAAATAAGTGTTCACATAACAGGAGGCCAACTACCCTAGACATCTATGTTAAGGCTAGAAGCATATGAGCCAAAATAGTAACTCATTTGGAGTATGGGTGCTGGTATTATAGCCATGGTCATTTTCTTGTTTGTTTTTGTACTTATTTTCTGAATTCTCCCTCATGACAACAGCTCATCTTCATGATCAGAGGACAGCAGAGTTAGAGGCTGCAGAACTGACAGTTACGGTCCCGGAGCTCGGCCTAAAGTACACGAAAGCCGCAGTACTGCATACAGCGGATGGGGGCAAACTTCCGCCTTTCACTGTCCACGCGGTGCTGAGCAGCTGCTGTGTGCCAGGAGCCGTGCCGACCCTGGGGGCGTAGCGGTGGGCAAAGCCAGTGTCCCCCTCTAGGTGCTTCCAGAGCCTGGGGAGGCCGGCAGGTCCACCACTGAACGCAGTGGACTGGGTCTTGTCTCTGTCCCTAGGGCATAGTAGATGCTCAGTAAAGATTTGCCGAATGAAGAAAAGTCTCTTAGTAAAAACAATAATAGCCAACATTATTATCAAGTGTGTCCCTAGGTCAGGCATTGTCCTAAACTTCACATTTTTTTTTTTTTTTTGGCCGTGCCATGAGGCATGTGGGATCTTAGATCCCCGACGAGGGATCAAACCCACACTGCCTGCATTGGAAGCACAGAGTCTTAACCACTGGACAGCCAGGAAAGTCCTCTCCCATTTTAACTCACCTGGTCTCCCCAACAACCCTCCTGATTTTACAGATGAGGGAACGGAGATGCTGAAAAGGCAGGAGCACAGGGAAGATGGTGCAGGAAGAAAGTGAGAAGCCTGCTCCCAAGCCTTGCCTGCCTTTCACGTCACCAGGGCAAGGACACAGGACGGCGGTGAAGGTGACTGCCTCGGGCTGGCCCGTCCTTCCCAGAGGAGGTGACAGAACGGTCCCGACATAGTTCACGTGGCAACAAAAACCTGTTCCCGTGTGAATGGCCATCCTGCCATCCTGTGAAACCAACCGAGTTCTCTGGAGCCAGCTGTGGAGTACCTGCCCAGCTTTCTTCTCCAGGCCTCCGGTGGGACACTTGTGTCCTGAAGGTCCCCAGAGCAGGCAAGGCGTAGCCAGGCAGGAGAGGAGGGAGAGGGGAGCCAGCCCTTGATTAAGGACAGAAGTCTCTGGAAAGCCAAGAGCACAGATCGAATTTTCTCCTCTTACAGGAATAGGGAACCGAGCTGGGTCTCCCATGCTATCCTGTGATCTTGGATTATGTAGGAAGGAAGATATGAAATGTGTGCACATTGCAAAGCCCAGGAATGAGGCCAGAACTTGACACGCAACCACTCCAGGGCTGTCTTCTCTGCTCCTGCCTGAGATGTGTATTTGTCAGCTCTTTGATGGCAAGTCGCGACATGCCTGCATCCTTAAATAATGAGTTGCTTAGCCTAGCTTATGTAGGGCTTCCTAGAAACGCTATAATACTTTGCATCACCTTCAAGGTCATGCTCATAACAATACGTTTCCTTCCTGAGGCTCTCCCAGGCCGGCACGTCCAGGACGCTCTGCACAACCTGTGCTAAGCACCTGTCCTCTCCCCTACAGCTCTGTGCCAGGATCTGTGAGATGCACGCTCCCCCGGGTGAAGTTCCCAGAACACGTTGTCCAGGAGAAACAGAGAGCAGGTGCCATGAAAGTGAATAATTTAGTAAATTCGGTGCAACTCTGTCGATTCTGGAAAGCTTAGAGTCCCACTTACTGCAATGATTTCTGCTGTCTTTCCCACAGGTGTGTGAGAGCACCGCTCACATCTGCCTCCATGGCCTGTGCTGAAGGTGTGGTTTTACTGAACACACACATTCGTGTTCATGTTGTCCATAGCCGTTCGTGTGCGGTGACAGCAGAGTTCGGTGTTAGCCTGTGTGATCCACAAAGCATAAAACATTTACTACCTGGCCCTTTGCAGGAAAGTTTGTGACCCCATTTTGGGTGCCATTTCTCCTTTCTTACCTGTAAACACTTTAGTTTCCATTATATTTTGGCCTCTAACATTCCCAAAGTTTCTTTTCTTCCTCTGCCCCACCCTGAAACAGATGGGGTGCATTTTTAGAATATGTAAAAGCAGAGAGAGGGTCCCGGCGTGTTTGTCAGGCTGCTGACAGAGCAGGTGACAGCGACAGGATTTGCAGCTGGGCCTTGCTGTGTACCCGCCCGCCCCCAGATGTCCATCTATAGTGGGTCCCAGCTGGCCTCCAGCTTCTAGTTTCCTGCTTTCATTTTCGGTATTCATTTTATTCTTAGCCTAAGTTTGACACTTCCTCTTAGCAACATGCAAATTTCAGGCTTCCACAGATGTCTGGAAAGTTACAGCCCCAGCATGTCAGCCCTGAGGGTGGGATTGCATAGGGGTTCATTTTTTTTTTTCAACTTTCCTGACTATATTTTTTTGAGTTTTCCACAAGCTGGTATTGTCTTGTAAGGAGGAAAATCCTTTGCAGTGTGTTCGCAAGAAATCCGGGTTTCAACCCTCTGCTCCCTCTGAAAACTTTCCTCACCAGGCTTGTTAAGGGCTTAGCTCACAAACGTTAGTTAGTGAGCCCCTTCTGCATGCTAGAGGCCGGGGATGTGGGCCCTGCCCGTGAGAGTCTAGCAGGGAAGAGAGAGGATTCCATATGCAGCCAAAATTCAAAATGGCACAGAGCATGGTGGAGTGATGGGAAAGGTTTTGGGGACAGGTAGAGCAAGGTGGTGATATGCCACTGGGGGGCGTTATTTGTGTTATAGAATGAAAGCTAGAAATACAATTTAATTTGGTAACAAGTCAGTCCCACAGTGGTAGCACCAATTTCCGTTCCCAACAGCAGCGTACAGGGATACAGTTTCTCCGAACCCTAACCAGCATCTGATGTCGTCGTTGCTTTTATGTTAGCTGCTCTGATAGGTGTCTAGAGCTATCTCATGTGGTTTGCGCTTCCCTCATAGCCAACGACAGTGAACGTTTTTGCACGTGCCTGTTTGCCATCTGTACATTCTCTATGGTGAGATGTCCCTGCACGCCTCCGCCCACACTGAACATTCCTTTTTCTTCCTTTCACAATAATATTTAGAGAACAAATTAGTGGATGCAAGGGTGAGGGATGTGGTGACGGAACAATTCTGTATCTGGATTGTGGTGGCGGTTATACCAATCTTCACATGTGATTAAATGACACAGAACTACACCCATTGAACCAAGGTCAGTTTCCTGGTTTTGATATTGAACTACAGTTCTGGAAGGTTGGGGGCTCGGGGAGAGGGGTGCACAGGGCCTCTCTACTGTCTTTGCAAGTTCCTGTGTCTCCAAATAAAGAGTTAAAAAGCAAAGTCAGTACCAATCATTCTGACTGTAGGAGGATCAAAAAATCCACAATTGGGGCTTCCCTGGTGGCGCAGTGGTTGAGAGTCCGCCTGCCAATGCGGGGGACGCGGGTTTGTGCCCCGGTCCGGGAAGATCCCACATGCCGCGGAGTGGTTGGGCCTGTGAGCCATGGCCGCTGAGCCTGCGCGTCTGGAGCCTGTGCTCCGCAACGGGAGAGGCCACAGCAGTGAGAGGCCCGCGTACCGAAAAAAAAAAAAAAAACAAACCACAATTGTTACTTTACCTCTTTCCCCAACTGATTATTTGTTTATCCTCAAACAGCCATATCACGTCATCATTCGACATCAGGGCTCTGACTATGTGCCCTAAGAAAACATACAAAATCACCACGTGGAAAAGATTGTCACAATTCACCTGAGAAATATGAAGATGAAAACAGGATCTCCCCACGGGGTGGCTGAGAACAGCTGCCGCACCCCGGCCCCGGCCCCCAGCTCCAATGGCCTTTCCACACCGGGACAGGCCACTGAGAGCTCCCTCAGCTTCCCCTGGCCTTTGTAAAAGGCCCCTTTGATGTGCCCTTTCTCATTTGTTTAAACAACACGAGACAGGATTCCTGAGGGCTGCAACCCAGAGGCCAGCTGGGTGGCCTTGCCTTTTTATGCAAAAGAGCTGAGAAACACCTGTCAGACTCTGAGGATAATTAACCTTTATTGCTTCTCATTAAGACTGAGATTGTCACTCAGCACAGATGTGGCTGCTGGATGGGGCTGGGGCTGGGGAAGGGGCGTGGAAGTGTGGGTGGGAAACGAGGAGCAGAGGCTCAAAGAGACTCTAAGGGGGAGAGACACCCACTTGCTTGTGGTCGTACGCAGGGTCGGTGCATCTGGGGCCTGCTCCAGCCGGGCCTGGGGCACAGCTCACAGCAGGACCTACCAGGCTGCATTCCAGAAGTGGGGGAGACAGAGGTCCACATGTAGAGACATCTCTAAGTCAAGAGCCGGGCTGACAATTCCCATCAGTGCTGGAAGGGAAACAAGTTCCAGGGTGCAGGGGTTCAGACGGTTTGGGGACCTTGCTGAGACTCTCTGGAGGCTGCTGGCTCTGCCTGATATTTACACGTGCTGGAGGCAAGGCCGTCAGGGCGTTGGGGCAGAGAGGAAATACTCCGTCTGCACAGTGCCCGACACAGTGGCCCATTCTGGGCTGGACAAGAGCCGTCGTGGGAGGGGAGGGTGAGGCAGACAGGTGGAGATGCCAGGCAGACGGCCAGTCAGTCAGGTCCCTTGGGCAGTGGTGAGGTGCTGGGCGGGGGTCAGAGGACTTGAGCAGGCGGAAGCGCTAGGATAAGGTCAACTCCAAAAATGGAGCATCAGAGTGCGGTGCAGAGAAGGGATCGTGGAGGGGCAGATGTGGGACAAGAGAGACCAGTTAGAGAGTGATGGGATAGAGCACACGCATGCGCACGCACACACACACTTTCACACATATGCCCATTCACACACACATGCACACGGGAGTAGTGATCGCTCAGGGCGGGGGGCGTACACATGGCAACAAAGCAGAGAGGGCACCTCAGGGTGTGCTGGAAGGTTTGCCCTGGAAGTGCTGCATTGCCCACAGTCCTCTCGGTCCAAGACAATCCTGGCAAAGCACAGGATCGCGAGGGAGGGAGGGAGGTCCTATGCTTCAGGCTTTCTACTGGGAAGTGTAAAAAGACACCCAACCAAGAGTAGAGATGATACACAACCTTCCAGGGCAATGGTTAAATGGCACGGAAAATTGTTAGCGTGGTGTGATCTTTTTACAGGAGTATCTTGAGTACAGAATTGACTCTATTGCATAGGAGGGAATATACGGCCTGAAGAAAAAGGTGTTATAAGCTCAGTGATTGAGGTCATCAGATATTCTAAGATTTCCATCTTCACGGGGCACAAATCCTGGCACTCTCATTTAAAGAATATCTGATACTCATGTAAACGCTGATGTCTTTTCTGCCCAGTAAACATGGGAAACAGCAGCGAGGATCAACGATGCCTCAGCTCCCTGCACAGCCTTGGGTTCAAGCATGGCTCTCGCTGAGTCTCGGTGCCCCTGGTATTCAGTGGGTACAGTAGTTATGTTTCAGTCTCTACTGTGGTAAATATGGACACATAAACCCATGGAAATGAAGCTCTCTGGGGTTCGTAATACGCTTTGAGTGTAAAGAGGCCCCGAGACAAAAGTTTAAGAACGTCTGGTGTTTACAGGCGGTTCTGGAATGTGTTTGGGAGGAGGGGCTCTGCAGATTGGGGTGGGCAAGTCAGTGCAGGAGGAAGCGGGACGGGAGCGACCGGGGAGCCGGGAGGGCCAGGGGGCCAAGGGGGCAGCGGACGCCCTGCATGGGGGCTGCAAGAGGCAAAGGACTTGGGAGAGGAGCCAGCTGTGACTTGAGGCGGACCGTGTTGCCGTGACGTAGTTTACACTTAGGCTACCGTGCCTGAAAACGGTGGGTGTGGGTGTGTGCGCGTGTGTGTACGCTCGTGCAGGGGTGGATCGGGCCATGCCAAGGCAGCGTGAGGTAGAAATCAACGTCCAGGCACCGAGACCCTCCCTCCAAGGAAGCACTTAAGGTGACACAGGCTCCTGGGGCCAGACGTAACTTTCAAAGTGTACGCATCACCCCTGCACCCCAAGATCAGAGGAGTTCACAGAGGTCTCCGGGAGACTTTGGATGTGCCTTGGGGTGAGGATGGAGAACTGGCCCCCCTTGTTCTGGACTTCAGCGCTTACATGTCAGCACAGCAGAGGCTGGCACAAGTACTTGGGTAAGGAAGCCCCATGGCCGCCATGGCCAGGACAGCCCTGGAACCACGTGCAAGGCACTGTGGCATGGACACGGTGGGGAGGCGCTGAGAACTGCAGAAGTCTTCTGCAGGCCGGCCTTCCCTCCAACACTAGCGACCAGAGCCAGGGCCCTGCTTGCAGTGCAGGGACAGGCGCTCCACAACCTGCCCTGGGGGTTCTGGTGGCCGCTGCTGCCACTTGGGCCTCTGTCCCTCACTGCGGACTCAGGGCTCAAGTAAGATCTGTGAGCTAACTCCTTCCCAGAGCTTTTCTGACATCGTGGATCGAATGGCTGCTAAATCTCTCTCTCACCTGTGTCACCATGGTGTGTGTTTGCCGGCTTTTCCCCCTGTTCACTTCATTCTCTCCTTTCTCAAATGGTAGCATGGACTTCCTAGGTCTCAAGTCTGCAAGTTGAGCAACTTAGAAACCCAGACACAGCTCGCAAGGGCTCCGCGTTCGAATAGTTTCCCATGGAGGCCTAGCAGGATGAAGTGCTGACTGGAAAGAGACAGGAAAAGCAACCTGTTTCCCAGGGGCACAGGTACTGGGCTTCGTGCATTGAGAACGCCTCAGGAGAGATGGAAGGAGGTTGATTTCTCTCCTTCGGGAAAGTCACCTGGCCTCACAGCTGGGGGAGAGCGTGCACAGCAAGGACTGTACGTCTGTCTTTGCAGGAGGGAGGGGAGAGGGACCCTTATCCAGGGACTAGGACAATTCAGAGACAGGGAGTAGGGCCATTAAGAGGGCTCTAATGCCTCTTATGTAGGACTGTTGGCCATATTAGGCCAGTGGGAGTGGAATTCAGCAGCATGCTATGATAGGAAGACCCAGGGTGTACACACAGAACAGACGGGTCAAGAGGAGGGTCTGGGCTGGGGTGCTGTCCATAAGCTGAGGTGAGCCACTTCGTCCCAGAGGCCTCGGTTTCCTGCCTAAAAAA